TAGTAGTTTTTTTAAAGGAAAGAGAGTGACAATTTTATTTGAAATGTAAATTTTTTCTTTTTATTCTTTCAATTTGTTTTCAAAGACAAAGTCATATTATTTATTGTTTAAAATGTCTTAGCAATCGGAACATTGCCACGTATTGGCGTTTATATGCTTTTATCTGTTTTCTTTAACGTTAATCTAATTTTTTACTTTTGATATGCCGATACCGTAGCTTCCTAACCCAAATTCGTCTTAATTGGCTTTGTTATTTGACATAGTGAATCTCTTTCCAAATTTATTTTCAAATTATTTGTGACGTTTCGTCATTCGACAAATGACTGCTTGAGACAGACTATTACATTTACACACTACAAATTTTGTCCCTAATATCAATGTTATTACTTGGAAAAACTTGCTGAACTCACCGGTTTTTGCCGGTCTGGAAATATTTTTAGACCGGTCGGTGACTTAAATTATTAAATAAATGACTGTACAAAAATCTATCCCTAACCCAGCGTCTTACTATGTTAACGAATATCTTGAATAGCGAAAATATTTTTATCCCAAATCTTTTCACTGCACATCAAAAGTGTTACCATGCCCATTTCATTTATATTTAGGTGGTGTATTTTCTTTGATTTTAATGGTCGGATGGTCATTGAAAAGTAAAGAGGATTTTTACAATATTTTGTTTAGCTCTCTGATCTCTGTTTTTCTGTGGGAAAAGCAAAGCTTATGACCATTATAACTGTACTGTAGCTGTAGTTAAGGAAGTGATATCCCCATTATTAAATTATGTACTAAATCATTTGTAACGTCATAAAAGAACAATTACTTGAATATCAAAAACATCCCGTGTATGAGAAAGAAAAAATTTGAATTAGGTAGATGTTTTTTGTTATTGTACTTTTGCGTATACTGTTCCGCATCAATGAAAGCGTTGTATGCGGCGTGTACTGAGGAAACTTCTTTAGAAACACTTTTCAACTGTGCTATTGTAGAATGCTTTAGACATTTCAAACTTTAATTAAGAATCACCCTGCTTGAGAACTACATACAGTAGATTTATTACATTTTATTATATAAAGCTAAAAGAATGACTTTTATAAATTAAAAATATGATTTGAAAAAAGTAGAGTGATTAAAATATGTACAAGAAAAAAGGAACAAACGAAAATTAAGTCAGAAAACTGATAAGATAGTGTCTAGACTAAAGTAGGACGCGTATGAGTGTTATTGTTGAATATTCAATCTCTTTGCTATGTATAAAACTTCATAAGAATTGGCCGGTGTAGTTTGGAACTGTCCGTTTTTTGGTAATGCTGCCGGATAAAATGTAGAATTGGATGTGCCTTGACAGAATGCATTAGCTGCTGTTCCATTACAATGAAGTTCAACATAGGCTGTATAAACACGTAAATAGTTGAATGTATAATTTGTTGGATTAAGTGCTGGATAGGAGAAGACTACACGTTTATACATAATTCTTCCATTATCTGTACAACTCCAAACTCCAGCTGAGTTGGGTGATGTATCTTCGTCGGCATTTTTTGCAAATAGTACACCATTTGAATAAAGTGTAAATGTAGCCTGGAAAGGAGCACGCGGGTCAATCGATGCTTTAAAACTGTTTGCGTAAACTCCAGCGTATGTTGTATGACACTGTTTAATTTCAGGTGAAGTGAAGAGACGACTGGCTATAAAAGTCGACGAAGACTTTTTCAGTGGTATTCCATCACGAAATGGCATTCGTTGATATTGCAATGGATAATAGTTACCATATTGTATTCCTGTACAATTTTCATATTGACCAACGGAAGTCTTTCTTGGACATTGCAGATAGAAAGTGTTTGTAACAATACTTGATCCCTTTGTGTCTCTATTGGCTGGATAGGTGAAGTAGTTTTCTTGTCCACCAAGTGTGTGAGTATTGGTACATTCATATGTGCCTAAGAAGAAAGAACAGTACTAAGTCCGAAAAATGTATAAGTTAAGCAAATACAGCCGGATCTTTCAGTAGCAGCAAGAAAGCTTGAAAATCTAAGTGCTAGGTCAGTCTCAATCCAGAAATAAACAAATACATACCAATTGCTGTGCCTGAATGGAATGTTCCTTATAAATTGTGTTGGTCTGAGGTAATTGTGATTAGGTAACCTAGTGGTGTGAATGCCATAATTCTGTAGACACCATTAAATAAAGCTATGTAAGTACCGCTCATATCATCATAGCATCGATCTCTACCATTTGGATCAGCTGAAACAGTTGAATGTGAATACAATCGTCTCATTTCAAATTTTGATCTTGTTTTTGATGATATTGGGTCAGTGTAACGTCCAGTTGTATAATTGACTGATTGAAATTTAAAACTTTGGTCATGTCTAATTCCATTTGAACAATAGATGACATTATCACTCGATTGACTGACTGCACCACGACATTTGACCGTTGCATCAGATAGGATAACACTTCGATTACCTGATTCTCCGAATGTAGCAAAATTGAATGAGACACTCTTTCGACCCTTGTTAGGACCAGAATCTTTGCATTTGCCACGGCCACTACCATCACTCACAAGTGCACTTTTGTTTGTTTTTTCATCTGATCCAATTACCAGAACATCTCCCAATTGAGAAAAATAGATAAGGCCATAACCCGTGTTATTCTTAGTTGGACTGAATTTTGCCAAATAGATACCATCAACTTCAGCAAAACATGCCGGTCTCTTAACTTTTGCGGTTACTATGGTTATTGTTGTTGTGACTACCACGAGCAGTAATACAATCTGGACGCCGTTGTTGGTGATGGTCGAAGGTGAGACCAACATGTTTAACCTACTTCAGGTACTGTTTTTGTTAGCGAAAATGCTATTTACTAACTCACCTGTTGTAGACTATCGATTTTTTGTTCGACGAGCGAGAGAGAGATAGATAGAGAGAGAACTATATAATTAGAAGTAGTCAGTAGATAAAAAATATTTGACGTTATTCTAAAAAGAATAATGTTTGCTCTTTGGTAATGATATAGATTGAGTATGTTTCTGTTCTAACTATCTACTCTCTAAAAAAAATAGGCATTTTAAAAAACCTAAAAAGGGTTCGGGAAACTGCAAATATACGGAACCCTTTAAAAGGTTTAGTAAGGGGTTTTTGACGTGTACTAAACCCTTTTTAGGTTCCGTAT